TTAAGTCGGAAAAAAAAAAAAGTAAAATTTGTTTTAAAAGTTTTATTTTTTTATTTATTTTAACTTAAATTAAAATGAGTTATCGCTAGCATATGATCCAGCTGCCGGCCCAATTTATGTAATAGAGGCCCAATTCACGACAGCTTCGGAATCGAAAATGCAGATCTGGAACTCGAAGCTATTGGTAAGAGTAATTCTTGATTATGCAGAACTATCTGCTCTGCGAAATTTGTGCAGGAGATTGGAAACTTTGAATTCTGCGTGTTGGCCTCCCAGATCTAAGCGTGTTCATGCGCTAAATGGAGTACAGAAGGATCAAAGATCAGGTATGTTTTTTTTTACCTTCGTTTTCTGTCTGTTTTCATAGTCATTTTTTGCTGAATCTCTGCTGTATGAGTTCTAATCTCATTACGAGATCGGTTTTTCGTAATTCTCCCTAAAAATTTGTTGTCATTATTGTTTATTTTGTACCTTCGTTCATCCTCCGATGCAATTTATGGCTTTTGTGATCTCGTTAATGCTCACTTGCGGGCTTGCTTAGTGGTAGCTGAAGTAGGAGTTATTATTTGAAAATTGAAATGAGATAGATGCGTTTGATGAATCGTTAAACTCGAACTACATTTCGTTTTTTGAAGTGTGTGGTATTAATGTAATCGTAGGATAAAGATGGCAATGGAGATGACAGTGGGGTTGGTGTGGCTGTGGCAGATGACATAGAGAGCTTGCGCGGTGGGAAAGCAATTTCAGGCGGTATGTTATCGTGCGGCTCTTTTTGGGTAATCTATCTTTGTTGGATTGATAGTCTCCGTCGTCATATTTTGCATTTAGTTTACGCTTCTCGTTGTCTTAATGTTCATGTGCGAAAATTGCAGCGAGCAATATGGCGAAATTGGGAGGAAATCCTTTGGATAGATCCAAGTGGCAGCAGAAGTATGATTATGAAATATGAGCAAACATGTTATATTTCAATGAACATCATTTGTTTGCCTTTGGGTCAGATTCGAATTGATTTCCTTTTCTAAATGATTTTAGGTCCATAGTTACGCTTGCATTAACAGTTCTTACTAGTTCACAAGCAATACTCATTGTGTGGTCCAAGAGAGCAGGCAAATATGAATACAGTGTTACAACTGCAAATTTCATGGTGAGTAAATCAAACTATGATTTGGAATAAATGATCAGCAGTTAGAAGTTACGCGTACCTTATTATTTCTTTACTAAATTGGTGGTTATGGCATCTATATGAATAATATCATTTGGTAATAGGTGGAGACTTTGAAGTGTGTATTATCGCTTGCTGCTTTGAGCCGAATCTGGAGAAGTGAAGGTGTGACTGAAGATAACAAGTAATGTTGCAAGCTGATGCAAATTTTTTTTCTTTGATGTATTTTGTCACAGAGTAGTTGTTGATTATTTTTGTTTCAAATTGGAAAATATTGGACAAAAATCAAACTGTCAGTTATAAGAATGAACTGTGTAGATGAGGAAAATGCAGAACAATTCAAACTTACTATATTTTAGTTATTAGAATTAATCGATTATGCAACAGCTCTATTAGGACCTCGTGCTTATGCTCAGTATTCTTCAACTTCGTTATTTGGTGGATTATATTCTTGGCTAGACAGAAATTTTAGTTACAGTGGTGGTGGAATGATTTTGAATTTGATTGATCTCAAATTAGATCTCCGTTGGTATTGCTATGATCAATCATATCGCTTGTATTACTGTTCTTGGCCAAAGTGCTTTATTGGTACTATTTAGCAAAGTGAAATAGTTAGCACTCTTAACTTTTTTTTCTCATGTGTCCTTCAAATTTGACTAGGTTGAGCACAACGTATGATGAGGTTATTGTCTACCCTATTCCTGCGGCCCTTTATCTCGTCAAGAATTTGCTCCAGGTTTGCCTTTGCCCTTTTTAAAGCTTTCCTCCGGTACCATGTCCATCTTCTTATTCATGCAAGTGTATTAACTTTTATTCCTCATGTGGCAGTATTACATTTTTGCTTATGTGGATGCGCCGGGTTATCAGATATTGAAAAATTTCAATATCATCAGCACGGGTATTTTGTACCGAATCATACTTAAGAAAAAGTAAGTCCCCTTAGCTTGAATTAAATTCTTTTAGATGTAGAAAATATTTATTTAATGGTTGAGCTTAGAACTTGTTATTGCGAGTGTGCTTATACAGTGAACGAAACAGAATTACTTGTAAGAAGAAGCATGAACTGGGGAATGCATTTATTTTTCATTTCCTCTTCTTCTCAATCCCAATGCTCCGTCCATGAATGAATAGGCTGATGAATGATGAGCTAATTCAGGCACTATGACTGATTATTAAGAAAACTTACATTTTAAGCTGAATAGGAAATGAAATGACCGCTGGAAAAGCCCATAAAGTCTGAACTTCATCATAGCTTGAATTGTAGTCATTGAGGAATATTTGTTTGGATTATGTTTTAACAGGAACCATATTTCAGGTTAAGTGAGATCCAGTGGGCGGCGTTTGTTCTTCTATGTGCTGGGTGCACCACTGCACAGCTAAATTCGAAGTAAGAATTTTTTACAGCTGTTATGTTGTTCATTTATGAGTTATACAAGTGTTTGGATCTCTTCCTTTTGTTGTATATTTAGAGTGCTTCTGGCAAGCAGAAAGGCCATTAAATTTCTCCAGGAACCGAGTCTTTTAGACACTCAGTTGCTTCCTCAATTGCTTTGTTTATTATGAGCAGGAACCATAGATGATATCTGTATTTATCAATTAATAGATACTGGTCCCTAGTCATACGTTGTGATTAATTATTGAATGCATTATATCTTCATATTTTCTTTGCAGCTCTGATCGTGTTCTTCAGACACCTTTTCAAGGTTGGCTGATGGCTATAGTGAGTTCCAAATCTGTAATGCTATAAGAGTGTGTGTGTATGTGTTTTGTGTGAAGAGTAATTCCTCAAGTACTTATTATCTTTGGTGGTGGTTGAATCTTGTATAGATCATGGCACTCTTGAGTGGATTCGCTGGAGTGTACACTGAGGTGAATTATTTATGTGCAATTTCAATATTGTCATCTTTAATTGAAAGACCTTTACTATGTTTTTTTCCTGTACAAAGAACTGTCATTATGTTTAAGAGCTTTCTGTTCAAATGTTTCATCTGGCTACTAGACAGAGAAACCTGGGTTGGCTTCATGCCGCCTTTTAGCTTCCTAAGACACCTTGAAGAAAGCTATAAAAAAGTTCCAGGAATATGATTGTCCTTCAAGGAATATAACTTTTTTTTTTTTTTTTTTTTTTTTGCAGGCTATAATTAAGAAACGTCCTTCAAGGAATGTAAATGTACAAAACTTCTGGTTATATGTATTTGGGATGGCGTTCAATGCTATTGCCATGCTGATTCAAGATTTTGATGCAATTGCGAATAAGTAATTCTGCCTTTCTGATGATTGTTTTTTTCTCTCTCTATCTTCCTCTCCATGGTTTTAAGGACATTAGATTTTTTTAATTAATTCATACCTAGAAATTTTTAAATTTTGTTTCCTACCCGACAGTAATATTTTCACCTGTGTGATTTTCTCAGGGGATTCTTTCATGGTTACTCATTTATTACGGTTCTTATGATTCTGAATCATGCCCTCAGGTATTAAACGAGCTTTCTAAGAGTTTATTAGCATCAATAGTGGATCTTAGGCTGACTTTATAGAAGTCTTTGTTATTCGGTCAATTAAGTCTCATGATTTCGTGCAGTAGTGTGGTGTTATAGTACAAAAATTAGCACCAAGGTTTATTTTCTTAATTTGTTCATGTTTAGAATATATGCTGACAGCGTTTGTTTTTCCAGTGGCATTGCTGTATCTATGGTATTGAAGTATGCAGATAACATTGTGAAGGTATTGCCTACTGCAAGTCTTTAATTAATTTGAGTTTATTTATAGCTTTGACTTGCAGAATTACTTAACTTAAATCCCTTTTTCCTCAGTTCAAATCCGGGATGCATATGATAATATATCTCTTGCAATTCTTGTTTCAAATTAATTGACGTATTTCGATTCTTCTGGCATTTATCATGATTTCTCAATGCAAGTTTATATTAAGCAATACGAAAGCATAACATAAAAATTAATATATTGCAAGGCGTTCCTTAGAATTTGGTTCTTTTGAGCGCCAAAAAGATATGCTGATAGCTCTATCTTATCACTTGGTGGGGCTGGGATTCCTTGATAGAGATTATGGTCTTAGTTGGGATGTTGGATGAGTCCCTCTCTTGTGCTTGAATTGATTCTTTGTTGATCTAGCACCAATCTTGGGATGTACTCAAACACGTTGACCAAGTTCAACAATTCGATGTCAATGACATAAGTTTTCGAGCTTGCATATAGATTTTTTTTACATCTCAAATAACGCTCCTATTAAGATTTAACTTTGCAACTTGGCGCAGGTTTATTCCACTTCAGTGGCAATGCTTCTCACCGCAGTGGTTTCTGTTTTTCTATTTGGCTTTCATCTCTCCCTCGCCTTTTTCCTTGGATCAACGTAAGTTATTCCTGATTCATATAGCTGCATCTCATTTTCCTTGTTAATGTACATTCATCCTTTGGTCGTTTTGCATTTACAGCGTCGTATCGGTTGCGGTCTATCTACACTCAATTGGGAAGCTGCAAAAGTAGCCGACACAACTTTGTGAATGGTAACCGAAACAACAGATGTTCATTATATATCAGTGTATATGGGGTACTGTCTCCTGCTCTTTTTGCCTCATTATATGTTTCCATTGTTTACATGAGAAATTATGGATTCTAAGTACAAGTTAGATAACAGATGACTGGCGTATACGAAATAGTATTCGTTACGATTGCTAGATTCAACCTCGATTCTCTGCGTGCTTTTAGCGTTCTGATTTGTAGGATGTAGAGTTCTTGGGATTCAAAAATGTAGGTAGAAAGCAAAATATACCAAAGTTTTACCAAGTTGCTCGATTAAGAATTATCAAGACTTATTGCATGCAAGTTTGAGAATAGCTACTTGATCATAGCTCAACTGGTTCGAAACGTTTTAGTAACCTTTAATACAAGTTGAATGTTTGAGCTCTTACCTTCACGTTGGGAATGTTTTATATTGTTGGAGTATTTGGAAGATGAAAAGTACAATTTTTAGAAAGAAAGTGGGAATTGAAGGAAAGTAAATCCTGTTGGATTGGTAGGAGTTCATTTCTTAGGCTTGTGGTATCTGAGGCATCGGTATCTCTCACCACCAACGGTGATTTCAAGAGCTCCATCTTGGTTATTTTGGGTGGATGCAGTTCCTCCATTGTGCAACCCTTTTTCTTTTTCAAAGGCCTCCCTTTCCAATCTCAACTGTAACTCTTGTCGTTCAATCTCAGCCTGAATGAACACAAACAAAAACATCACCACAGTACAATCTTCTACCAGGATTAAATACCATTTTTAGTTTTATTTTGTTCTTTTCTTCATCCTTGACTTATTTGGATAAGATACCAATTACCATCTTATATTGAGGGTCAATGTAAAGGATTCTATTGACAACGAAGTTCATAATATAAGAGGTTATAGTCTTCGTCCTGAGATTATTGAATTCTTAAAGTAAAAAAAGTTAAAATTTTAAATTTCCAAAGGCGGGAGTGAAGAAGATCGGATTGTTACAAGCAAATTTGAAGCCCTACGAGATACCGTGGGCGTGGGTGAGACAATAGAAGAAGTATGTTGTGGAAAAAATTAGAACGTAAAATTTGAGGTCCTACAACAACAAAATTTTTAAAATTAAAAATTTAGTTTTGGTTTAGGATGTAGAACGTAAAATTTAAAACTAATTGATTTTAAACAAATTTGAATTTATAAAAAATGATGGTACCTCTCGCCGGTAAAGCTGGTCCTTCCATGTAGTTTCCCGCTCTGCGACGACGCCTTCTCGTCTCTGTATGTCTTTGGAGTTGGTTAATCGTTCTTCAATGGCGGTTTCCACTGCCTCCTTCACTCCCTCCTTCAACCTATCAACCAACGATTTTATGTTCCAAATCATTTCCTTCCCAAACCCACGCCCTCTCTCACGATGCCTCCCAATCGGATTCCGGACCAACTACTGCGGTTGCTGCTTCTAGGTTTTTCTTGGATTTCGTTTCCCTTTTTGATGAATGGAAGGAATTTTGTTTGAGATGGAGATTGAGTGAGAATCAGGCGACGCAGATTCGTTCGTCCATGTGTCCGGATAGGAATAGGAAAAGCATCATCTTCATCAATACTGTGAAATTGGATGAAGCCCCGAATCTGTTCGACGAAATGCCTGAAAGAAACGTCGTCTCCTGGACGACTCCATTACTGTCTGCTTACTTCAATTCCAATCAAAATCATTAGGCGTTGGAGTTTCTGATAATCATCATGCTTTGTGGGTTTGGAATCTGATGCCTTCCTAAGGACTGCTCCAATCAACAGGTACCATGCTTTGAATGTTTTTTCTTTAATGGGTTGGTTTCATGTGCTTTAGTTAATTTATGTACTTTCCTAAAAATCTTAGATAATTTTTAATTATTTGAAAATAAATAAATAAACCTTCTCTTAAAACCGAGGCCAAAGGCTCGAGCACACGTCGCTTGGCCGTAGGCGACGCAAGAACAAATTGGTTAGGCTCGAGCATACGTTGCTTGGTCGTAGGCGACGCAAGAACAAATTGGCTTATCTCACTTGTGATTGGAAAGTGAGTGCTGCACAATTGCAAGTCCACTGCCATCAAAAGTGCACGCAAGAACAAATTGGCTTATCTCACTTGTGATTGGAAAGTGAGTGCAGCACAATTGCAAGTTCACTGCCATCAAAAGTGCGGTTGGTTTGATAACCCGCTGCTAATTCTTCTTCCCTTCTAGTAAATCAAAAGGTAATCTAATTCTTCTTCCGCTTCTGGTATCAAAAGGTAATCTAATTCTTCTTCCGCTTCTGGTATCAAAAGGTAATCTAATTCTTCTTCCGCTTCGAGTAAATCAAAAGGTAATCTAATTCTTCTTCCGCTTCGGGTAAATCAAAAGGTAATCTAATTCTTCTTCCGCTTCGGGTAAATCAAAAGGTAATCTTTTGCATTATGCTAAGGAAGAAATTAGAAAAATAACAAACCCTATCGGTTGATGCCACAAATTCCTCCCCTAAAAACCATACTTTAATTGAGCCTCAACTATATCAACTGTACCCGGTTAGATAATCATAGTCGGTAATAACATCACTGGTCTCATTGCTATTACAGAACCGATCTCATTGCTATTACAGAACCGTACATGAGATTTTCACCTCATACGGCTCCTTGAAGAACAATTAAAAAAAATTTTGAAAAATTGAAAATATTTACTGTCGGAATAATTGGGTTTAGTGGAAAAAATGTTCTCATCCCGACCCAACCGAACCCATGAACATGACTAGATATTCAGTTTTTAATGACCACCAGCCCATCAGAATCCAATTCTCAAAGAACTTCTTTTCCACCTATGAAATCCAAAAAAAAATCAAAGACCTTAACAAAAGTGATGAGTACTGTTCATAATTCAAGTAAAGCACAAATTCTGATTCTTGAAACTACATGAATGGACCTTATTTATGGAACAGAAATGGATCCCTTTCCTTCCAGATCGACACACAGCAAATCCGAACAATGTCGATGAATGCTCGATGGATTGACCGACACTGTTTTGCTGCTTTCTTATAACTCGTCTTTGAAGTTGTCGCGACCGACGTAAGAAGCATAAAACTTGATTATTGACTCGTACACCTCGATGCCTTTCAAATACTCAGCTTGGTTCAGAAACTGAAACAGATGAACATATTGTTTAGACGACAATGCAGTTGATGTCAGCTAGAAGAACAGCCATCTTGACACAGAATGGAGGTGGATGAACAGAGAGAGCGCATTCTAGGCGGAGATCGTAATGTAGCATGTAAAGCAATTATGATTGCTTCTCGAGTTCTTAACTACTCATTATCAGTTTAATACTAGGCCAATTGTAACAACTCAAGCCCACCGCTAGCTGATATTGTCCTCTTTAAGTTTTCTATTCTAGACTTCCCCTCAAGGTTTTAAAACGAGGGAGAGGTTTCTATACTCTTATAAGGAATGTTTCGTTTCCCTCTCCAATCAATATGGGACCTCACAATCTACTCCCTTTGGGAGCCCAACGTCCTCGTTGGCACACCACCCGGTGTCTGGCTCTGATACTATTTGTAACAGCCGAATCCCACCTCTAACAGATATTGTCATTTTTGGGTTTCCCTTCCGGGCTTCCCTTCAAGGTTTTAAAACGTGTCTGCTAGAAAGAAGTTTCCACACCCTTATAAGGAATGTTTCGTTTCCCTCACCAATTTACCAACCGATGTGAGATCTCACAAAAGTGTTCAAAATGAATATGATCAATCGAGATTTCGAGTTTTCGACATCGGTTGAAGGGTTAGCCAATGCAAACTATGGACAAATTTTGTGCTATATCTAACATAAACAGAAGAACACAGGAATGTAGCACTAAATCATACAGCCAGATTCACCCATCTTTGAGAAATAGATAAGAATTCTCACCTCATTATGGTCATGAAGAAGACTAGGAGTGTTCGCCATTGGAGAGAAGCCGATCGCAGGGAGACCTTGATTTCGAAAGTACCGGGCATCGGTTGAAGCGGGAAAGATTTCTGGGTTTCCAAGTTTCCCATTAGCATTGCTCACAGCTTCTTCAAGAAGATTCCACCACGGGTTTGAACTGTCGATAGCGGTGAGAGCTGGTTTCCCGAACTTGTCGTAAATAGACTCCTTTTGCTTAAACTGAAACAATCAAGCACCGGGAAAGATACGAGAGGAAGAACTTACATCATAAAAGAGATCGAATTCTGGAATTCAACAATCTGTAAAGTCTTAATGAGTTATTATATCAGTATCCGGGCTCGAAACTGTAAGCACGGGCACTTTAGTTCGAGTAACATGACTGTATATGCCATCTATTAGACATTTATCAACGACACTCGTTCGACACGTTCTACTCTGGTTTCAACTTGTAGCATATTTCATCATTTCAATCATAGACAAACTAATTTAGATATACTCGAGTGCATTTGTTCATCTCGTTATTTATGTCTTGAATCTTTTAAAAAATCACACGTTGCGAATGTATCCCATGCTTCTAAAGACTCAAAAAGATTGATACCTCAAATGTCATGTTACGAGAAACTGGTGCCCATTCCTCTGTGATTCGTCTCTCGAGAGACTCTGGATCTGCAGTCGGTGGGAGGCGAACGTCAAAACCAGCCTCAGCTTCGGATGGTTGCAGATTCATAACAAAGCCCTGGTAGATAACAGAGTAGCCATCAAGTTATATTAGCAACAGAGCTAATCATCTTCATTGTACCATATGACACAGAATTTCAACAAAAAGAGTAGTTTTCATCAAGAATTCAAGTCACACGTTCTTGATTAATATCATAACCCAATTTTCTGCTATCTCAACTGTTTAAACCATAGTTTTTGAAGTTCCATATGGAACTCAAACAAATACCCACTTCATATCTTTCTTTCGTGTGTTCCCGGGAGGAATTCGATCTTGGAAAACCACCTAAATACCAGCGGCTAGAGGATCAAATAGGTCATGAAGAAAGAGTCTGAGGTCGGGTCGGACGACATACATCTTGGTTGGTTTCACCAAGAGTGAAAAAGTAAAGACACTATAATAGCCCAAGTCCACCGCTAGCAGATAGTCCTCTTTGGTCTTTCCCTTCAAGGTTTTTAAAACGCGTATACTAGGGAGAGGTTTCCACACCCTTATAAAGAATGCTTCATTCTCCTCCCCAACCGATGTGGGATCTCATATTCCATCCCCCTTCCGAGCCAGCGTCCGCGCTGACTCTCATTCCCTTCTCCAATCAACGTGGGACTCCCTAATCCACTCCCCTTTGGAGCCTAGCATCCTTGGTGGCACACCGCCTCGTGTTCACCCCCTTCAGGGCTAAGCTGCCTCGCTGGCACATCACCAAATGTCTAGCTTTGATACCATTTGTAATAGCTCAAAGTTTTTAAAACGGTCCGCTAAGTAGAGGTTTCCACACCTTTATAAAGAATGTTTTGTTCTCCTCTCCAACCGACGTGGGATCTCACAGACACCTTTTCTAATTTCATTTCACTATAGACAGTATACCAGTTTGGATCAATTGATCAAAGGAATTACACCTAACTTCAAGCATTCAAGAACAAACAAGTTTCAAAGATAAACTCACAGTAGGAGATGGAGTCCCAGCTTTTAAGGACACCATGTTGACAGAGACCACCTCTCCTTCAGCCTTCAAACCAGCCTTCAACAAATCAAACTGAGAAGCTCTGAACCTTCTCACACTCTCAATACTTTTGAACAGATTCTCCAACGCAGCATTATCATAAAGCTTAGCTCCATGGCCAGGCGCTCCCACTGCCTTGATCACCAGCCACCAAGGGCTCCTCTCCCCATAAAACGCCCTATAATTCTCACCCGGAGAAGGCAATCCTAATGATTTATGAACTCCATTAGTCTAAACATTTGAAGAACAAAGATAAATTCAATCAAAAAATCAGCAAAAGCGGTTCACTCAGTACCTTCATCAAGAACAATGGCGACGTTCAACTTCTTGAACTCATCAGATTCAGCGAACTTCTCAGCACCACCATGGCCACCAATTTCTTCATCTGGAACAAAAGATAAGTAAACAGATCGCACAGGCTCAAACCCAGAAGCCTTCAAACGCCGAATAGCCTCGAGGTATTGCATCCCAACGCACTTCATATCCTGAGACCCTCTGGCATAGATATTTCCATGGGAATCGATATGAGCTCCAAGAGGAGGGTGCGTCCATTTGTGATGCTCGAATGGAACAACATCGGTATGCGAATTGAGAAGGATCGAAGGAAGATTAGGGTTCGAACCAGGCCATTTGAGGAGGACGAGAGGCTTGCCCACGACGAATTCGACGGTGTGGTATTCAAGGGAGAGCGATTTGGCTTGAGAAATGAGGAAATCGGCTGCTTCATAGTATTGGGGATTGGGCTGAACGGTGTTGATCTGAAGGTATCGTTGGAATCTTGATACGATTGAAGAGGAAGATAATGGATCTTCTTCGGCTGTAGAAATTGAGAGAAACAAGAAAAGGGTTGTGATGGATAGGAGAAGAAGATTAAGAGATTTGAAATTCATGGTTCAATCGGCACTTAGCTCAGTACCACAACTCACAACTCATAAATTTCAGGAGAAATTCATATGATGAAGAAAATAAACCTGCGTTTGATGATGAAATTGGAGATCAAAAGCCCATTTGAAGTGAATCAGAAAAGTTGGGCTACACAAGAAAACAAGAGCTCAGAGCAGAGCATGTAGGAGCCCACAAAAGAAGCCGCATCAAAAAATGCTCCCAATCCACCCCTTTATGGGCCGAGCGCCCTTACTCGCACACCGCCTCGTGTTCACTCCCCTTCAGGGTTCAACCTCTTCGCTGGCACATCGCTCTCTTCTCTAATAGATGTGGGACCCCTCCAATCCACCCCATTTAAGGCCCAACGTCCTTACTCATACACTGCCTTGTGTCCACCCCCCTTCACGGCTCAACCTTCTCACTAGCACATCCCTTCTCCAATAGATGTGGGACCCCTCCACTCCACCCACTTTAAGGCCCAACATCCTTACTGACACACCGCCTCGTGTCCACCCCGTTCAGGGTTCGACCTCCTTGTTGGCACATCGCTCGGTGTCTGCCTCTAATACCATTTGTACTACCCCAAACTCACCGTTAGCAAATATTATCCTATTTGGGCTTTCCCTTTTGTGCTTCCCCTCAAGATTTTTAAAAGCGTCTGCTATGGAAAGGTTTCCACACCTTTATAAATAATGTTTCGTCCTCCTCTTCAACTAATGTCGGAACTCACATTAATAGCTATAATGATATGAATTTTTTAAATAGTTTGATATCAAGATTGGGTCGAAGCCCACGATTTGAAGCTTCGAACGTGCTAACTCCTAAGTAGGTATTACTTATAGATAACGTGATTTTTGGTTGAACGACAGGCTACATTAATTAAAGTGCAATTGTGACAAAAACAAGTGAGTGTCGCACAATCGCAAGTCCGCTACCATTAAAGTGCAATTGTGACAAAAAAAACTTAGAATTTTATTACATGAAATTCGAAGTTATATCTAATAAATAAAAATTCAAAGTCTCATTAGACATAAATTACAAGTGGAAGAAAAAAAATAAAAAAAATTATTTATTTATTCTCTAGTCGGGTTTTAGCCTTAACGAATAAGATTTGCATCTAACTACAGTCTGCAAAAAATAAAAATAATAAATAAATAAAGAGAATCTACAATAAAATAAATAAATTTTATTATAATAGCACGTGATTTAAATATTTAAATATTTAAATCAACCATCGAGATATTTTTTAAAAAATAGTTTATTTTCTCTGGCCTTTTTTTGCTAAAGTTAAACCTTTAATATTCGGACTTTATATTAAAATAAAATTATGTGCATTTTAAGTCGCATAAATATCTTAATTATTGTTAAATTAAGACCAAGTCATATAGACTCATTTTCATCTCGTGTTTTATTTATTTATTTATTTATTATCTATTTCCTTCTCGAGAGGTAATAGAATAAAATATAATTATTGAGTAACAATTTTGTTTTTTTAATCCATTTTTTTATTTTATAATTTTAGTTTCTTGGTTTTTATGAGGAAAAACATCTAATTATTTATTACAGAGCCAATTGCAATTGCTAACTACTTTTTTGTATTTTATTGCTAATTTTTTTTAAATAAAAAAAATAAAATTTTGTAAATTTATTATGAGAAAAAAAATAATAAATTAATATTTTTAAAAAATTAAGAAAAAAAAATTTATATACGATTTTAAATTAATTTTAATTTTTTTACATTAATAATATGTGAGATAAAATAATTCAAAGTTTTGGAGTTTTAAATTAATTGAATTATACTTAAATTATATTTCTACTAAAATAAAACATAAAATTTTCAATATTAAAACAACCTTAAAAATTAAAAAAATTCAACCATTTATCGATTATCCAGAATTTCGTTAAATTATAGAAATTACCGTTAAAATAAGATATTTATTTCAATAACATTCGTAAATTTAAAAATAAAAAAATTTATAATCTTACATAATGTTAAATAAAAAAACTCTTACCATTCAATTTAAATGAAAAACATTAATAATATTGTTTAAAATTTTTCAAAAATATGCTTGACCTATTAAATTATTTTTAAGAAATACAAGTTTTAAATAAAAAACGCTAAAAATGTTAGACTTATGGATTATTTACATATCTTATTTATTTTATTAAATCATGGGTCTAATTAACGTTTTTGAAAAATCAAGGATATTTTTAAAATTTAAAAAGTTTACGGGTATTAATATAATAAAAATGTAATTAAAGTTTATTTATTTATTATTATTGGATCTAAATTAAAAAATTAATATTGACAAAAAAAAATTGCAAAAATTAATGAGGAATTTGAAGAGATCCCGTCGCCGCCGGTGCACTGCATCCAAACGGGAGTGTTTGACCGGCGATTCAACGGTCGTTTGCTTTATTTTATTTTATTTTATTTATTACTTGAAAAGAAAGTCGTTTGTTTATTTTTTCTTAAAAAACAAATGGTTAATTGAATTTAGGGTTTTATTATTATATTTCAACCAAATGTTTGAATGTTTCAAATTTTGACTATTTCCTTTTTTTTTTAATTAGCATTTTACTTTCTTTTTCTTATTTAAATTATTATTATTTTTATTTAAGCGGAATATTTAGCGGGTGGTGCTTGTCTCTACTGTAATGCTTACTCTAGGTATCGTCATTCTCCCGAGTAAAAAGCTCGACTGCTTGCTTAAGATCATGAAAAAGAGGGTTTTTTTTTTCTGTTTTATCGAACAAAAATTTATATTTTTCTAAAGTTAAATTAATAAAATTATCTATAAATTATAAATTTTCTCCGAAAAAATACTCATAAACTTTCAACTGTAATGCTTAATACGAGATTTATTTTAATAAGCTAATGCTAAGGAGAGAAACCTTTAGTATTTTGTTTTAAAAAAACCAGAATGGTTTAAAATTTTGTTTTTTTTAAATAAAAAATACCTTAAACTTAAAAAAAAAATTATTAATTTTAATTTTATATTTAAAAAATACGGATGAAATTTCAAAAGTAGCACTGACACCTTTTATAAATGAAAAATTTATAGTAAATATTTGGATGGAAACTATCTACGTAAAATTATTTTTTATTTTTCTAAAAAAAAATTAAATGTATTTAAATTTTTTTTTTAAATTCAAGAATGAAATTTTTTAAAAGTGAAACCCTTCTAATTATTTTTTAAACATTTTTTAAAAATAAATATTAGCCGTATTATTTTATTTATTTATTTATTTTTTTGAAAGTTTACTTAATTAAAAAATATTTTTATTAATTTAGTTTTTTTTTTCCTCTAAATGTTTTGTTTAACCTTTTCCTCTCTAAAACTATTATTCTTATTCCTCTAAAATTCATCGCATTATTTTGTAAATAAAACAAAAATTAGGTATGAAATAGATAATTTTTTAAGCATAAAAAGAAATAGTTACCTACTCGAATCTAAATTTATTAATTTAAATTGAACCGATAAAATCTGGCCAATCTAAATATAATTTAATCAGATATATCTGTATTTAATAATAAAAATAAAACAAAAATTAGTTATGAAATATATAATTTTTTAAGCATAAAAAGAAATAGTTACCTACTCGAATCTAAATTTATTAATTTAAATTGAACCGATAAAATCTGGCCAATCTAAATATAATTTAATCAGATATATCTGTATTTAATAATTAATTATTATTAAAATAACCCTTAATTGTCGCCCATAAATATTATAAAGATATATTAATTAGTAATATATTTTGTCTTATTATTTTACTTTCTGAAGACAAAGAGCTAATATTTTAGCCATTTATTCCTTTTAAATTTTAATTAACTTTAAAAATTCTCATAACCATTTTATTTTTAAATATTATTTTTGTTTTTAAAATTTTGATGAAAATTCAAATATTTTCTTAAAAAAAATGAAATTCTTGTTCGAGAAATAATAGAGAAATTACTAAACATAAATTTTCAGTTTTGTTTAAAATGTCTAATAAATTTTTAGGCCACTATAAATGAATCTCTAATTTAAGTTTTAATATTGCTCCACTGACATAAAATATGTATTTTATTTTACCACCTAATATATTATTAAAAAAATCAAACAATATTTTAAATTTATATATATATATATATATATATATATATATATATATTACATTACATTGAGGACCATCTCACCTTATGTTATTATATTCATTAATAATTAACTTTCAATGACTTTTAAAATAAGTTGATTATTTATGTACGTTCAAATCACTTATTAATTGATATTGTTTAAAGCATTATTAATCAAACATAATTTAATTAGTCAAGATTGGTACCTTAGGACGTCTCATTTCTGTTAAACGCTAAAAAAAAAAAGAGAATCTAGAAATAGCTCGAGACATCAACAATGTAGCACACACGAATGTGACCAAACAACAATCCAACGATGAATGATTGTAGCTATGAGACGCGAGGCTGTGCAGTCAACATAAATTGACGGTCGTCATGTGAGAGTTAAAGAGAGTGAATTGAAAGGGAGAGTCGGGTTGAATGAAAAATGAATTTGAAGAGAGAAGATGGTTTTTACGACACGTTTAATGATTTTTTTAAAAAAAATTAATCTTAGTTGATCATTGATCCTGTCGAACCTCATTTTATTGTCGTTAAAGCTCGAATTTTACTCTCGGTCTTATTTTTTTTGAGCTCACCCGACTAATTTCAAAATAATAGAAAATAATTATTTTTATTTTTACTTAATTGGAAAGATAAAAAGAAAAAGACAAACCACACACACGTGAGTGGATGAGTAATTTAATTAATTATGATTAACCAAATCTTGAAGAAATCATATTAATTAAATGATATAATAATTATGGATGAATGGTTTTAATTAAGATTACTTTATTAATTTTTAATATTTTATATTTGTCAGAGGTGAGTTTGGATTGTTATAGAGCCAGACATCAAACCATGTGTCATTAACGACGCTGGCCCTCAAGAAGGGTGGATTGTTAGAGAGAGGAACTATGACTGATGGCTATACGTAAAGGGCCGAAGTGGACAATATCGGTTAGTAGTGGCCC